TAATCTTTTGCAGGCTATTGAGAGACATCATCGTAGATTCAGAAAACCACCAATTGGTCCTATTGGCTCCCATGTGGTAAGTTTCTACTTTCGTTTGCAAATCTGTGCACCAAACAATTTAGTTCACATGTTATCTTATATTGACCATGCATGGCTCAATAAGGAACTGACATGTGCAACTGTTGTTGTAACAATCTTTTAATGTGAACATATAATTGTGGGTTAAAAAGTCTCTTCTAATGGTGTGATGTTCTGCAGACTTTAGTCAATGGCAATAAATGGGCTTCTACAGTTGAACAAGCTCTTGGAAACCTGTTAAATGCCTTCATTGTGACTGATCATAAAGATTCACTCACTCTAAGAGGCTGTGCGAATGAAGCCAATTATAGAAACCTCAAGATTATCATCTATGACTTTTCGAGACCAAGGTTCAAACTCTTATTAAGCATTTTAATATTACCTCTTAACCTTCTGCATTGATGAATGTGTAGCTTTATAACTCAAATATTTGTTATCTCTTCATTATGCAGGTTGAATATACCAAGGCACATGATTCCTCAGACAGAACACCCAACTATTTTCTCTGTCATACACTCTGATAACCCAACCGTCCTTAATGTCTTGGTGGATCTGGTTCGTACTTTCAGATTTTCCCTCCACTTACTAAATTTCTTCATTCTTACAGCCTTATATGACGGTATTGACATTTTAGTCTTGTTTTCTGGATATTTCAGAGTGGTGTTGAGAGGCAAGTGCTTGCAGAGAATTATGAGGTAGGAAAGGCGGTTGCATTTGGGAAAAGGCTCTCAAATCTGAAGGAGGTTTACACTTTAGACGGATATCGAATGTAAGTAATTTGTTAGATTTGGCATGGACAGTCACGCTATATCTTCCCTTGCAAACAAAAACAAATCCTTTTGCATGGCTGGAGATAGTCTTTTCTTTTGAAATAGAATTTTTAACTATGACATACACCCCTCTTTCTGTGTCCTGGCTCTGGATTTCTCCAACGTTTCCACCATCAGACAAACTTGAGAAGCGATCCAATAGAAGCCTTTTGCTTGACATTTTTCATTTTCAAAAGCCCTTCAACTTATCTTGAAGGGACCGGAAAATGAGATATCCGACTGTCTTGCATCTACAATTAGTCGTGTAAAATAAGTTAGTAATTTTTAGCTGAAGTTGATTGACTCGAGAGCATCTAGGGGATATAGGAAGATCTTCCTCAATCATAACACTAATTTATATAATCTTACCCCAGGTTTTTTCGTGGGCCAGTTCAGACCACTCTTCCTCCTCTTCCTCGTAAACCTTCGCGACTCTGTGCTTCTTTTGATGACCAGATCAAGGATCTTGAAATAGAGGCCTCAAAAGAACAAAACGAGATAAATCAATGCATGAGACGTAAGAGGGAGGCAGAGGAGAATCTCGAGGAACTTGAGTCGAAAGTGCGCACACTGAAGGTAATGTCTCATTGATTAATCCAGTAGAAACTAGAGTTTCCAATCTTTTACACATCTTAACTGAAATGATTAGCTTGATTTTACAAAGCTTTAGTTCGCTAGTATCCATAACCGTTTCCATATGTTTCTTTGTTCGGTTTATGCAGAAGCACCGCAGCCAAGCAGAGATGGTTTTGACTACAAAGGAACTTGAGATGCAGGATTTGAAGAATACAGTCGCTGCCGAGACCGAAGCATCACCTTCTTCAAGTGTTAATGAGCTTCAACTTGAAATCATGGTTAGTTAGTTGGTGAACCTTTTTGATTGTCACTGTTCTCGCCTTCGTATCATTCCTTAAGTATTTTTCTTTTCTAATTACTATGCCAGAAAGACCGAGAAGAGATCGATGAGAAAGAAGCTTTGCTTGAGAAGCTCCAAAACTGCTTCAAAGAAGCTGAGCTTAAGGCTAATAAACTTACAGCTTCATTTGAGAACTTGCGTGGTATGTCTGTGATAGACCACAGTTTCTGAAACACCTGTATCTTTTTCTTGGTTTGTGGTCGAACATGAATTGCTCATCTTGATTGAGTGGCCGACTCTATTCTTACATTTTCTCAAAACGTGCATGTAGAGTCAGCCAAGGGTGAAATTGATGCCTTTGAGGAAGCAGAGAATGAGCTAAAGAAGATTGAGAAAGACCTTCAGTCTGCCGAAGCGGTACCCCTTCTTTTTTCTACGTAAAGATTTTGAATTTTTTACTTGTTTTGCATGCAGAATGTAAGCGTGATTCTGTTTCAGGAGAAAATCCATTACGAGAACATAATGAAAAACAAGGTCCTACCTGATATTAAGAATGCTGAGGCTAACTACGAGGAGCTTAAAAATAAGCGGAAGGTACAGATAATAAGCAATTAATCAGAAATTTTTCGCAATGACAAATGAAACTTCTTTCCGTTTTATACAACACGTACACACACAATTGTAAACCCTCTCTAAGGAAATGGCCAGGTTGACACCCAGTATGACATGTTGTCTAGTCTATGGAACTTAGCTACTGGAGTAATGCGTATTAGCTATAGATATTTTTATCTTGTAGGTTATTATTGCCCAGGGTTCATTTTCTTGTGGTTACGAATTACATGTGCTGAAATTTCAGGAAAGTGACCAGAAGGCCTCTGAAATTTGTCCTGAGAGTGAGATAGAATCTTTGGGTCCCTGGGATGGGAGTACTCCTGAGCAACTCAGTGCTCAGATTACCAGAATGAATCAGAGACTTCATCGAGAGAATCAGCAGTGCGTATTTTAGTGTTGCCTTTCAGCTTTTCCTTCACACGGAAACGACCTGTGACAGTAAATTACATGCTTCAATTTTGTTGTTGCAGGTTTTCTGAATCAATTGATGACCTTAGGATGATGTATGAGAGCCTAGAACGAAAGATTGCAAAGAAGCGCAAATCCTATCAAGACCATCGAGAAAAACTCATGGTTGAGTTTGCAGATCTGTTTATGTTAAAGCTGTATGTGTTGTTATAGTTTCATCGTTTAATGTATTCATTACTGTTTGATCAGGCCTGCAGAAATGCTCTAGATTCACGATGGGGCAAGTTTCAAAGAAATGCATCTCTTCTTCGGCGCCAGTTAACATGGCAGTAAGAGTCGCTTTCCCCCATTGCCGACTACATAGATAAATCTGTAGTTCGGTTGTCTCTTGGAGATTAGTATGATGTTTTCCATATGGATCTTTCTTTGACGTTAATCTTCAAAGCAGATTCAACGCTCACTTGGGAAAGAAAGGTATCAGCGGACACATAAAAGTCAGTTATGAAAATAAAACTTTGTCCATTGAGGTAATTGACACTGCCATGCTACAATTTTTACAACTAACGTGCCCATATTATTACATCATGTGATTAATTACTTTCTTTTTCGAACAGGTTAAGATGCCTCAAGACGCAACAAGCAATGCCGTTCGAGACACCAAAGGTCTTTCAGGTACTGCATCCTTCCACAATCTTAAAAATCCTACATATTACTCATTACCATCTAAAGACATTTCCTATGTCGGCCATTGGTAAATTGTAACGCTCTTCTCATTATATTAGGCGGAGAACGTTCTTTCTCGACTTTATGTTTTGCACTAGCTCTTCACGAAATGACGGAAGCCCCATTTCGAGCAATGGATGAGTTTGATGTGTTTATGGTATTATGTCCTTCTAAGATTCCTCTCTTTACAAGCATTTCATAGTTTTTAACTTTCCGATTCTGGAAAATACAGGATGCAGTCAGCCGGAAAATCAGCTTGGACGCACTGGTGGATTTTGCAATTGGACAAGGATCGCAGTGGATGTTCATTACCCCTCATGATATCAGGTAACAGATCAATTTCTAAACCATGGAACTCTGTTTGTGAAGTGGATACTTGGATGAAACTCTTTCGCTTTCGTGCTCTGTTACAGTATGGTCAAGTCGCACGAGAGGATAAAGAAGCAGCAAATGGCTGCTCCTCGATCTTGAAAACAAAAGAACCTCTCCTTGTATAGCTCCATAAAGGTACTCACACTTTGCTTGCATCACTCACTTGTTAATGCTTTGTGTCTGGCATCTTTCGCCAGTTCTCACTTGTGTTGTGTGTTTCTTTCCCTGCCTCATCAGGGCATGCTCGGCTTAGAGTCAATACTACAACACTTGTTTTCCACTTCACATTTGCTTTGTCGACAATAACGAGCTGATGGGAAGTTTGAGAAGAGCTTTGTGTCATCCATGGTGTATTGATTTGATTTTACAGGTGCTGAGTGAGACCCTTTTTTTTTCTGTCATTTCTGTTTATGACGGTTAGTTATTGTCAAACTTTGATTTTAAAACTGTATTATATATCATTTTTATTGGCTTATGATTATCAATTTTAGATCAACAAAATGTGACAGATTATTTTCCTAGTGATCTTCTGACAGTTGAAGTTAACAAAAAGAAACATAAATGTTTTTTATTGGCTTATAAATCAATTTTGACATCCCATGTGTTCATGTTTTCACAACAACAGGGAAGCTGCACTCTTCTCACATACTGCATCCACAAGGTTTTTTTCTTCAAACTGAAATCATAACACGTTATTTTCCTAAATTAATCCATGGAAGAGAAAAAAGAAGAAGAAAAAACTCAATACCTGGAGACACAAACCAAAGGGAAATCTCTTACTTAAAGCCACGGAATGCTAATTGATGTTTTTTAATAATGCAATTCAAAACGGCCAATATATATATATCATCAAATTGTAGCAATTAGATATAGAAAGCAAAATGATCAAGACATGTCTAATGATCTGTATCACCGTCTTCCATATGTCAGTGTCTAGGTCTCATTATGTTTGTTTTTTTGTCAACAATTATTGTGATTATGGGCCTGGCCCAATAAACGTGGACTCAATTCTCAATATGGACTAATAGTAATTGATATTGGGCTAACCATAACTTATCATTAAACAAAAAAAAAAAACAATAAAGGAAAAGAAAACGAAGTATGTCCTAAAGAAGTCAAGTCATTGAGATGTCGGAAACATCAACAGATTAATCAGAGAGATCGAAATTCTTCTTCTTAAGAAAAAAGACTCAAAAACTTGTTGTCAAAATTTGGAAGATGAAGGACAGAGAGGAATCATCATCGTCTAGTTCTTCAATGACAACAACAACAACAACAAACAACCCTAATGGAATCATCAACAACGGCGAACACGAACCTCGAGATATCAACATCCGATCATTCTCTTCTGTTCCTTCTTCTCCTCGTAACGCTTCTTCCAAATACGATTTCGTCAAGGTTCGATTTTTCTTTTTTCTCTTCTTTCAATTTATGGGCTTTTTTAATTCAAATTTCTGATTTTTCTTATCAACGACTTTTAGGTGAAGGTATGGCTTGGAGACAACGCCGATCACTACTATGTTCTGTCTCGCTTCTTAGTTTGTAGAATGTTAACTGTTACTAAGGTTTGTTCTATTTTGACATCTAAAACATTCTACTGATTCTAAGATTTTAGCACTGAATGATTCTTCAATAACATTGGTTACATATAATTGCCGATTTTGATTCAGATCCCAAATCATGAGGCTATAAAGATTTCTCTTGAACTCAAGAAGCTTCTAATTGACAACAGTCTTCTTGATGTGTATGCTCAATTCGTCTTCCTTCTCATCGATTCAATTTACATAATCTTGATCTTGTTTTGTAACATAATTTGCTTTGTCTCTTTTTGCAGCTCTCAGTCTGATTTGGAAACCAATTTGTTTAAGGTACACACTTCATATCTTTGCTAAAACTTGTCTTATGAACATTGAAGTAATCTGTTAATGGTTGAAATTTGCAGCTAATGGAGCGACGTGGTTATGGAGAAGAATACATAAATCGTTACAACATGATGACAAAGTAAAACGCTTTATGATGTTTTACTTGTTTGAAAATCTTTTCTCAAAGTTCATATTTTTGATTTTATACTTTTGTTTTGGTTTTTAGATTTCATCATCAAAGAGTACCTCTTGTCATACTTGTTTGCGGAACAGCTTGTGTTGGCAAGTCCACAATAGCCACACAACTTGCTCAGAGACTAAACTTGCCTAACGTCTTACAAGTAACTTGCTCATAAACCCTTCTTCATCTGTTTGTTCTCATTTTTTTTCATGTTTGTTTATTTAAAAAAGTGCTCTCTGTTACACAGACAGACATGGTATATGAGCTGCTTCGAACAGCAACTGAGTTTGTTTTTCTCTCTTTTTAGTTATGTACATTGTTATCCTCTAGTCTAAGAGTTACAAGACTATAGAGGAGCGCATAAACACGTTTATTTCTGTTTAATGTAGTGCTCCGTTAACATCAACCCCTGTATGGACTCGAGAATTCGGCTCATCAGAAGAGTTGATTACTGAATTCTGTAGAGAATGCAGAATTGTTCGAAAAGGTACTTCCTTTTGATGTTAGAAACTGTAGGATTGTTTTCATTTTGTGTTTGTTGATTGTTACTCTCTTTATTCTTTTTTCTTTGTGTGTTTTGACAATACTCAATGGCTTGTGGTTTGTGTAGGACTTGGTGGTGATTTAAAGAAAGCAATGAAAGATGGGAAACCCATTATAATTGAGGTAAATTGTTTGTGAAAGCTCTGTACGTCTAGATTATATTTTGGCAATTACATTTGTTTTCTAATATTGGTCGAGTAATCACAGGGAAGACATTTAGATCCAAGCATTTACTTAATGAATGATGAGAACAAAACTCCATCAAATGATCCCGAGAAGAACAGTAGCGAAACAAACTCTTCACCAGAGTTAACCTCGGACAAGAATCCCGAGGCAGGTTCTTCAAACACGAAAGTAACCGACAATAGTTCTGTGAAACCACCCAATTCTCAGGATGAAGCCGTGGCATCTGTAGAAGCTATCGACTTATCAGAAAAAGTTACACAATGTAAAATAAACGGTAAGTATTTTCAGCATAACTTTTTTCTTCATGTTCAAATTCTTGCATTTGCTTCGATATGATTATATAGTTCTGTTTCGTTTCGTGTGTGTGCAGCTGAAAGTTCGAAAGATGCTGAGAAGAAAAGCAAATCTGCAGATGGAAGTGGAAAGACGAAATCTGGCCCCGAACCCATAGTCATATCTATTGTTTTAAAGATGTCTGAATTCGATCATAAGGTGATTCAAACTTTGCTCATTTCGAGGTATATAACTCAAAAAGTAGTGTTTCTCAGTTCTTTATTTTTGTTAATCTCATTTTCTCAGGCTTTGCTAGAGGAGTGGATCTCTTCCCGTACATCTGGAGAGAAATATACCTCTAAGGTATTAAACAACTTGAAGCTTAAAAAGATCACTTAACTGATCTTGAAAGTTGCATGAACACATGTTTGGCTATTCTTTTTGCAGGAGAAAGATAGACTAATTACAAACCTAAAGACCATTGAAGACTACCTTTGTTCCTTCAATTCACAGGTTTGTTGGGTCCTTGATCACTCAATTTTCTTTTTCAGGTTTTGCGGTTCTAACGTTTCTTATTTGTGAATCAGGGAGTGACTGTTGTAAATATATCAGCCACCACATTCCCGCAGACACTAGATGGGCTTCACAACTATCTTCTTGAGGTAAGAAGAAGTCAGCAAATTCAAAGCTTTGAAAGTCTAAATGATCTCAACAGAAAGAAACAGTAACCATAATCTTTGTGTGTGTTGTAGCGTATTGAGGAAGGGATTCGATCATCAGAGAATGAGGCGCCAAAGTGAGACGCATGCAGAAGAAGTCTTAAGGAAGCTAGACTCATCTTGTCTACTGTAATCCTATGTTATGCCTCAGAAACTATATAATAGTTAAAACAACTGAGATTAGAGTGATCAACCAATTAGAAACGTTTCGATTAGCGAGTTTTGTATTCTATAGTGTAATCTATCACTCGCTATCAAAAACAAAGAGAAATTCTTGCATGAACTAATATACTAGTTACTCATATTTTCATTTAGAATAAGATAAGAATCTGACATAATAGGATCTTCCCCTAGGGAATGGATCTGACAATAAAGTAAAGTGCATGCACTTGGAGATTTGATGATCCCATCTTACATTTGTCAACTTTATGGGCCATTGGTTCTCTGTCTCCAATTCGTAGAGACTCTGAATTTGGCTCTGCCTCCATTAAATTGAGTCAAAGATCAGTCCCACAACAATCAAGCACCATTCACAGTCTCAAAACATACATGATGGATGATCATAAAAGACCTATTTGGTGTAAATCTTAGGCTTGTAAACTCTGTTTTGGATCAAGCTGAAGATAATTATAGGACGAGTATTGGAAACTTCTTGATCTTGTTATGCAAATGCAATTACTACTGCTCAATAAGAAAAAAACAGTAATGGAAAAACTGGAAAAAATGGAGATGCGGGGTATCGATCCCCGTACCTCTCGCATGCTAAGCGAGCGCTCTACCATCTGAGCTACATCCCCATTGCTAAGAAAGTACTTTAATATATATTTATTCTATTCTTATAAAATAAGGGTCCCTTCTCAATATCTTCTATATAACTCCGAGCGAGCATCTAAAACCCTAACTTATCAGACTCTGTTTCTAAACGCCGTTTCTTCATCAAAACATTATATTTCTTCTTTGTTTTCAAGCTTATTTTTTTTTATTGAATTGAGTAGTATAGGATTTGGTTGCTGATAGTTCTTGACACCTTTGATGGTTGTTTTACTTACTTTGAAGGATCTTTTTCCAACTTTCTTTCAAGCTCAAGTTTTTTGTTTTATATGCAAGTGACGATTAAACAGACAGGGACATCAGAAAATTTTCTGTGTTGACTATAGTCTATAATGGGAATCTCTCTGATGCACTAACAAAAAAACTCATTACTTTCAGTTTTCAAAAAAAAACTTTTTGCTTGTGTGTGTTGATTTGATAGAAAGTGTAAGGCTTTTACCAATGATGGAATTCAAATAATCATCAGATCTGATGTGTTATACACACATGATTACAACCTTGACGCTGAGGTAAAGCCTTTTGTTATTTTGACATAAACCAAATCTTTCGTGTCTGTTTGGTTCAGATCTAAACACATATTGAATCATGTTCTTGAAACAGAGTGAAGTTCTTAATCAAAGATTCAGTGTAAAGAACCAAATTCCGAATATTGAAATTTTGAAGGCACACGGTTATCAATATGTAACTCTAATGACAAGTTTCAGCTATATATTTGATCGAAACTAAAAAGAATAAAACCTTAATGCCAAACCAATCACAATGGATACCAATAGCTACAAAATCACAAAGAACCCTAATGAAAAATCATCTCTTTTACAGCATCGTTTGATATTGCTCCTCTGTTTTATAACCATTGTTGCTAGCTTGATGCATTGTAAAGGAATTCAGATTCATTTTCAGTTCCCCAACCGATGCCAAAGTCGCAAGTTCTTTCTCATCTAATCCCTTTGCTGGCCCGAGGCTGCATCGTTCGCTACCGTGCTTATCCAACGCTTTCTTGAACTTATTGATCTGCACATTCCAATAAAAAAAAAGAGATTTAAGTTTACTACCAAAATGCCAATGATATGAAAACAGCATAATGTTCTGCTTACGGTTGCAATAGTGCAGCTGAAGCTACAGACTTTACCCTCTGCTCCTCTATACAACTTAAAGAAAGGAAGCACATGAACGTTAAGACCATGACACATTGTTCTTAGCTCTTCTTGATTCACTTTCAGAAAGATCACATTTGGGTTTGATTCAGCCAATTGACAGATCTGTTTTAGTATACAAAACAAACATATCAATACACAAACCAGATTCACTGAAACTATCCAAAAAAACAACACTATTAGTACCTTTGGGTGGAGAGATTTGCAGCCACCACAACCAGGAGAGTAGAAATCAAGAACAACCAATCTATCTCCAGCATTTAACAAAGAGTCAACTAGATGATTTGCAGATTGAATCTCTATCATGTTCTGATTCGTTGACTTTTCCCACCATCTCGTTCCTCTACTCATACCAATTGATGATGTCTTTGCCTGAAACTAACCATTTCAATCACAAGCCAATTAGTAATTCATAAAACCACAAAGATTTCGATTAAAGAAACAAAAAAAAGAGAGAATTCTTTTGTTTTTGCTTACAGGAGTCACAGAGGAAGAAGAGAAAGCGGTTAAAGTTTGGTTGGTGAAATCTGTTGAAACCATGGCATGTTCCTTCAAATCGAGACTCATAACCGGAGAAAGTTTCGATTTTGATTGATTCACCTGAGAAAATGGAGAAAACCCAGAAAGAACATGATTGGTTCCAAGAGATGAAATTGCATCCATGTCAAATCTTGTTTTAAGAAAGTGAAGCAAAAAAAAATCAACGAAAGACTCAGAAATTTGAGTTTGGAGGAAATTGAAAAAAGTGCAAAGATTTTGAATGAGAAAAATCACAAAAAGTTAATCACTTTATTGACCTCTCGATATCAATGGAAGAAAACACTTTGCACAGTTACGCAGAAACTTGTGTGTTTTTAAGACAAAACTGGAATTTACTCGTAGGTGGGTCCTTGTTTATCCAATTGGATTTTGTTTTGTCTTTATCCATTTTTTCACCGTTGATTTCGTGATTTGTGCTAATAATTAACTCAGTCAGTCTAGTGATTAACGACTGTTGACCAATAATTTAATAACATTAGTCAATAATCTAAAAATCTGAAGATCCGGATTGGGAGTTGTCACTACGATTTCATGCTTATCTTCATTATATGAATTTAACAGGATTATCCACTAAGTAAATAAAATTTCTTTTTTTATTTGGGTCAAACAATAAGAATTATCTCTTTGTAAATGATTTTCTGTTATTTGTTTTCCTTGCGAGAAGGAGGAGTGAAAAAAAAACGTAATTGTCAGCTTCGTCGCATGAAACGTGTTGCTGACTGTGTATGGGGCATTTCCTCGTTGGATATGGTCCCACTTAGCTTATACAATGGTATTGCATAATTGTTACTATTGTAGCAATCCAATTGGAAGATATTATTAAAAAAAAAAAAATCAACTTTTGTCAAACATATTATATAAAATTTTATTGTTGTTAGAAAAGGAAAATTGTTATAGAAGAAATTACCATTTTAAGTTAATCAGATACAAACTTTGGAAAATTATTCATTTAGCATTTTTTAGCTTGAAGATTGGAAATTTTCATTATTTGAAGATATTGAATTTCTTACTGTTAATTTTAAAATGGGATGTATATCTTATCCTAAAATAAATGTTTGTTACTGAGTCACACTCAGTTTTCCTTTTCTGTATTTCATTAATTTTTGGATTTGTTTGCATTATCCATTATCAGATATTTTTGACAAAAAAATAATGATAAAGCCCACAGTTTTATTATGGATTTGTCAGTAAAAATATGGTCCAAATAGAATCCAAAAGCGGCCCACAGGATTTTAATCCAAAACAATGCCTAGTAGAAACTATGTGCAAAATTGACTGCAAATAATTGCAAAGTCGCTAAACATTGCTAGCAATTCCATAGTTTTACAAACTAGACTAAAAAAAAAACACAAGGAATATATTTTATATGTATTTTTTATTGTCTACAACTTACACACCAATATTATACCTAAGTTATGATATGTTAGCAACACTAATACAAAGTTACAAACCATTCCACTCGAATTTATTTTCTATTCTAACTTCTAAGACTGTAAATAACAATTTTTTATTATGCTTTGTGCTATTGTACATGCAGTATGTAGTAATATGATTGACTATTGATTTGATCATTGGACCCCAAGTATCACCATATCCTTAAGCACTTCGACTAAAGCCCACATTTTGGAGTCCAACGAAATGAATATGGGTCAATAAGGTATCACCATAAAAGCTAGCTCCCTTAATCTTTTTTTTTTGACGTCTAGATTTATTATTTATTACAAATTATGAGAACTGTTACATAGACGATTCTACAACGGACAATTCCTTCCGACCCTTATTAGATCCACGACAGACGACACTTCCTTCTTCATGCTCTTGACGGACACCTTCAATGATCCACGACCTGACGACACTTCTCTCTCTGCGTAGAATCCTGGCGAACGGCTATAATTGTACTTCGCTGGAGATCTCCTGCACACTTGCCTCATTTAATCTGCAAATTTAAATAAATCGCAATATCTGGGACTCGAACCCCAGACCTCTTGGTGTGAAAGCATTAATTAACCCTTGGTCAACCAATGGGCCAAGGGGGCTTCCACAGCTCCCTTAATCTGTATATTAATATGGTTGCTTTTTATCCGAGTAAATATATAAAATAAACGAGACTGGCCCTGTGGGCTGTGGCCCATATACATAGCTTAGGAGTCTTATGTCAGTGTTGTTGGTAAATACGTTGACTCATAACATTGATTTGCATCAAATGCGATAACCATTACAATTGACGATTATATTAGTTAATTACTTTTAGAAACAATTATTAGACGTTTACATCTGAATTTTTTACTAATCGTCTCTTCAACATGTAGACACGTGGCCATTCACCTAAATTTCGGGTATTAGGAAAAAAGATGACGTCGCAGATTTAAATATAGGTTAAGTTGACTACAACAATACAAAAATCACAAAATCAAAGGCTTACGATTAGCAAAGAGACCGGAAGGTGTTTGCCAATCCATGGCATATTGATACGTGGTTTTGTCTTAGTGGATATTTTCCTTAAATAGAAATATTAGTAGCTTTCTTACCACCTAATTTGCGACATTTTCTATAAGCAGATTTTTTATTTTATCACACTGCCAAATTTTTCATTTGATCTCGTTCTCTCCTCTCATCATGACATTATTTTTTAATCAATTTAAAATATTATCAGACTAGTTTGACATTTTGATTAGGCGGAAATTTATTCGTATATTATTTTAATTTTTTTTATAAATAATATGTTTATTTTATACGCATTAGTTTTTTAATACGAATAATACTGTTAGAGTCGATGAAGAAGCGAAGCGTAGATGATCTTTTTTTTTTAACTATGTTATATACATAATTGTGAGTAATGCAGTGTAACTCTGATTTGGCTAAAGCCGCTAAACTAATTAAAGTGCTAGGATAAGTAAAGAAAATAAGAAAAGTTGTAGGGAATATGCTACATTGCTACTACAGTATATATATATATTCTTTTTGTGATTTAGGTCTATACGTGAGCTCCATTTTTTTAGTTACTTGTATTTAAGTGTTTGATTAATTGATAAGAGGCGCCATCTTGTGTGTATTATGTAAATTTTATTTTATGAAAGAGTGTATTTTCTGCCAACATCCTATAAAGACAAGAAATCATTTATTCTTCATATATCCTTATTCTCTAAATGTGTGGCAGAAACTCGTAACATGGGTTATATATCCTTTCTAATTTCACGGCAAACTAGAAGTATATACTTAAGCTGATCAACGACAACGGTCTTGACAAGACAAAGTCTTTTATACTAAGGTACTTCTTTCAAAAACAGTTCACTCCGTTTAGAGAGAAAGGAATAACATATGACACATCGAGGAACCATCTCTAAGTGAAAAACCAGTAAGAATGATTAATAAAAACATTCAGAACCAGCTAAGCACAATTCGGAGTGGATGAAATTTGAAGTATGCATGAGGCATTCAAGATTGGTTTGCATCAAAGCAAAGTGAAGAATAACTCTGTTTTTCAATTGTATCTTTAAAAACAGTATGCATTAAGTTGTAAACAAATTTATGTTTTCTCTTGAATATAATTTAACCCTAAATTCAAAAAAAGAAAGAAAAAGATGTTACTTTTGAGTATATGGATATAACAATAAACATTTGCAATAGACCTTGTCCCTCCAAATTGCACTGTATTTGCTTAAAACTTATTTATATACATGTGAGAGGCAAAAGGCGTGATCTCCTGCTAATACGTGCATCCCGCAATATCAGAACGAGTTATCTAACCTAAACTTCGATTAAGGTCCACTCAATTGGTTAGAAAAAGATATTACTTTTAATTTGACTATCAAACTTTTTTGTATCGTGACCACACTAACTAGTACCAAAAAACTTGAATATTATGTGAAATAACCTTTAAACAACCAAATGATCAAAAAAAGATAAGCAACACGGCGAAACTATTCGCCTAAACTAAAATATATTTGATGCAATAAAATTCGCATGAACTAAACTACCTGTGGTGTAAAGTGAATCGAATTAATTTTAAAGACGATAAGATATTTAACTTTAGTATGTAATATTTAGTCATTGGTTATTGAAAATTCTCACATTTCATACTTACATTGCTAAAATATTTTTATTTAGACTTTGAATGGTTGTGTAGAATGATGCAGTCTATACTAAAGTTCGACCAGTCCACACGTAATTCACCATTCATTATTGCGAACCAATATGTACTATTACAGACTAATAATCTCCATACTAGTACGCACTTGAGAATAAAACTCCTTACCATCATAAATTCATTTTTAGTCTGTTTTTTTTTTTCATTTCACTTTCTAAAAATTCCATACCATCATAAACTTCATACCAATATATAATTGTCTGCCTCGTACTAAAATTCAACGTTTTACTTACCAAAATATTGGTATGAATGATCCGATTCCCAACCTATAGACTAACCATTCAAAACCTTATAATTCTCAAATTTCATACTTATTTTACTAAAATACTCTTATGTAAACAGTATATAGGCGGCCAAAGGAAACGTCAATTAACACATAAATTAACTCGTAGCAATATAGATTTCTTTCTTAAGTTTTAATTTTGTAATTGTTTTTGGTTGTAAAAGAAAAAGATCGCGGGATAGTGAAATGTAAACCGAGTGCCAATCCTAATTGTTTGGTGAAACTCAACTATGCAAATGATGATAAATGGAGATATTTCTCGTGCTTATTTTCCAAATTTTATTAATTTTCTTAATATATGTTTAAATATAGCAAATGGAAAATAAACAATGGCACTGCCTAATGTTATTACAACCAAAATAAAAACTATACAAAGAAATCTCTACTTAGCAAAACAAAATAAATCACTATAACTACGTTTTTTTCCCAAAAATATTTACATGAAGAAACGAGGACAATTGTTGCATAGCTAAACTGATATGAAAAAATTACCTTTGAGTATTTTCCAATATTTGTAATATCTTTGAGTCGATAAACAATAAACTTTTAAATTGATCTAAAATAAAAACAATTATTTATCTTTATCGAATATGTAATATGTAATATTATGTAAAATGGCCGACACCATTTTCATATTAAGCTGTGGAATCCGTCGTATATTTTTCTGGAATATATACAGACAGGCACATGTAAAAGATTTAAAAACTAATTGGATTCTAGGCGAACATCCACCCTGAACACCTTTTTATTCCTAAATAAATGTCAATTTATGGTACCAAAATCAAAATATGTTAGTAATGCACCGAACGCACTTCACTCTTAGAAATATAAACTCTTTATAAAAATCTATGTATTTAATCTATTTCTTTGACCTTTTCTAAGTGCTTTTTTAATAACAATTAAAACTTTGACGAATAAGGTAACAAGATTAAAGAACCAATAAAAGTACCAGCAGAAACATCATTTGTCAATCATGCCTTCTTGATTCTTCTTTTAGAAAGAGAGTTTTAAAGTTAAATATATATTTTATGCTATAACATTACTATCTGACATATTAAATTGGTACTGAGTCATCTATATTTCAACTTTTTATTATTCTTATTTGCTAACAAGCACAGACTTCCTTATTAAAATTCTAATCTGTCTGATCTGAAAAGTGGTTAGATATGGTTACTAAAAATATACACAATGGTAAGGGAAGTCATACAAAGATAAATTTATTTATTTAAGAACCTAAAATTTATCCATTACAGAGATATGAAACAGTTAAGTTATTGTTATTGTTTTACAAGATATATAGGTGAATTTCAATGAAAGTCGGAAAAATGTTTATACGAGGAAATAACAACATTATTTATTATAGTCAAATATTTGTAAAATATAAACTGAATTAAAGTGTTTTACAAGATATAAACTCTTTTGCTAATCACTGAATTAAGTGTTTCAATTTTCAACCATACATATTCAATACCACATAGTTACTCTGTATAACTTAATTTTCTAAGACATTGTCATTATTCATTGTATTGCTTAACTGACGTAATAAAGTTATAGATCATTCTTTGTATTTTTCAGTACAATTATAGTAACCATGCTTAATGCGTTAGATTCAAAGAATTTCCTTTCTCTTGTTAATTCTTTGTAGTTTTCAATACAACTATACTTATTTATTTATGTATTTCTAGCTCCTATATAACGATCCAAAACAGTTCTTTGTTTTTAAAAAGGTCTGATAATATATTTTTCATATTGAATTATTTTCTACGAATATTTTAAAAGCTCAGAAAAAAGTTTTGTAAAAGGGGAAAGTGCTAAAACAACCTACCCAAGTTGCGTTACACACTACGTATCTTTCTTCTCCTCACACAAAAAAATGGGGAAATATACTTTTTTTTCTCATCCAAATTCTTAAAAAAAACAAAATTTTCGTTTTGACGTTATTTTCTTATAATTAAGAAAATGAAATATTGCAATTTTTTTTTTCTCCAGTCCTTCAAAGTTCCAAACTTTATAGTTTCATTTGGCTCTTTTCCCTTTATATTTTCCTCTTCATCTTCCTAACCTTTCTCCCTAACTTCCCTGTTCATCTTTTCTCTCTCTCTCTCTCTCTATTTATAAATTTATTTACATAGTATTCTTTGAATCCATCAAAAAACCTTTCAAGATCGAATCAAGAAACCCATACAAGTTTCTTTTTAGAAAAAAAATTTAGGTTTTGGTTTCAGTTTTTAAGGGTTTAAGGTTTCTTGGGGAAGAAACGATGGAGACTTTTTGTGGGTTTCAGAAGGAAGAAGAGCAGATGGATTTACCTCCAGGGTTCAGGTTTCATCCAACAGATGAAGAACTCATAACTCACTATCTCCATAAGAAGGTTCTTGACATCAGCTTCTCAGCTAAAGCTATTGGTGAAGTTGATTTAAACAAATCGGAGCCATGGGAGTTACCATGTATGTTTTCAAGATAACCATGATTTCAAGTTTTATCATTTTTTTTGTTGGTCTGAACGGGTCTGCTGTTTGTCTTCTTCTAATGTTGTTGGAAGGTTGATTTTTGTATACAGGGATGGCAAAAATGGGTGAGAAAGAATGGTATTTTTTCTGTGTGAGAGACAGAAAGTATCCCACCGGTTTAAGGACTAACCGAGCAACTGAAGCCGGTTATTGGAAGGCCACAGGGAAGGATAAAGAGATATACCGAAGCAAATCGCTTGTTGGGATGAAGAAGACACTTGTTTTCTATAGAGGAAGAGCTCCTAAAGGTCAGAAAACCAACTGGGTGATGCATGAGTATAGGCTTGAAGGAAAATTCTCCGCCCATAACTTGCCGAAAACCGCAAAGGTTAACCGGAAAACCCAACAATTTACTCTGTTTCTGCTCTGTTTTCCTTTTGCTTACTAACTTTCTTTTTGTTGTGGGTTTTGCAGAATGAATGGGTGATATGCAGGGTGTTCCAAAAGAGTGCTGGAGGGAAGAAGATCCCGATTTCGAGTCTAATCCGAATTGGTTCACTCGGAACCGACTTTAACCCTTCGCTTTTGCCCTCTTTAACCGATTCTTCGCCTTACAATGACAAAACCAAGACAGAACCCGTCTACGTGCCCTGCTTCTCCAACCAAACGGATCAAAACCAAGGAACCACACTCAATTGCTTCAGCAGCCCTGTTCTTAACTCGATCCAAGCCGACATTTTCCACAGGATTCCACTCTATCAAACTCAATCCCTCCATGTTTCCACGAATCTACAGAGCCCGATTCTCACGCAAGAACACTCAGTTCTACATGCTATGATCGAGAACAACAGAAGACAGAGTCTCAAAACGATGAGTGTCTCACAAGAAACCGGAATTTCGACTGACATGAACACTGATATCTCATCGGATTTTGAATTCGGTAAGAGACGATTTGATTCTCAAGAAGATCCATCTTCCTCCACTGGACCAGTTGATCTTGAACCTTTCTGGAATTACTGAAGAAGATTCAAGAGTCGCATGTCCATTAATTTACTGTCAAAGAAAGTAAGAAAACTTTTTTCACCTTTTAGTGTGGTGTGTTAAAGTTTGTATAGATTATTATCATCTCAACTTCCACTATATATTATACTCAATTTAAAGAAACTTAAAAATATGATTTGATATTTGACCAAAATATTATACTATACAATTTGATACTCGTTAGAGAGGAGAGTCTATTGGGTATTTATATTATAATTAATGATAATATCTAACATACATGTATATACCATGTATATCTTGTAACAGCTATTGGGTAAATTTCACCTTTTGTCATCAGTTTTTTTTTTTTTTTTTTGGTGTTTTGACATTTGAAGTTGAAGGTCTTAAATGGGAAAGTCATTCTTTTTCTTCATCTTTGACATCCTTCAGTAGCAAAAAAAAGGAGTAGATATAGTCAAATAGATCCATATCTCTAGTTAAGATAGATGGTTTAGTTTCTTTTCTTCTCTCAAAACTATTTTTGTATCTGTACGATGTTCATAATTAAATGTATATTTTAGAACTTTCATCTTGTTAGTCAAGAATTGAGATATCACCCTCATTGCAAAATTTGAGTTCTACGCCAATTATGACTATATATTTAGGTCTTCATCTAGGAAAATGAGACTGGTTTCTTTTTTTTGGTGTGAAATGAGACTGGTTTCAAACAAGCAGCAATAATTTTTAACTTCACGTTATAGTATTTGTAATAAGTAATAACCAACATTTTGAGCTTTTAATATTTCTGAATATTGATTAGTTATTAGTTTTGTTGTTAAATTAAAAACTTATATAGATTTTTTGTAAAAAACATATGAAATGATTTCGGAATTACTTTATCTTTGCTTAATTAGATGTTAGTGTTAATTTAAAAATCTTGTTATTAAAATTTATTAATTATTTAAATATTAACACATTATTAATTTGATTGGTAAGTGGTCTTGGAGAACAAATAAATATTTTTCAGCGTTCCTTTTCTACCCATCTGCTTTCATTATAGATATCAACTTGAATTTTTGCTGCTTGTTAGAAACCAGTCTCATTTTCAGCTTAACAGGTAAAAAGTGTAGAATATCTCAACTTTTACTAAGAAGACACTTCAAATTTGAATTTTCTACTAGTGCGTATTGTAATTTAGCATTTAAAAAAAAAAAAGAGAGAATAAGGTATAGTATATTACATTCATATATGCATTCCCCATGTGGTTTATTAAAATTTTGGGAATGTATAAAGTGAAACACAATTTCCATGAACATTAAAACCTTAATTCACGTAACGTATCAATTAGTAGAGTTTCGAAAGTATCTCATTTCTTCTATATAAAAAAAAACATCTCATTTCTAATACTACTCAAAAATTATGTGAAGAGAAATTAAATTAAATATAGAAAAACATAATCTGGTTAAGTTTACAATAACAAAATATATATTGAGATCATATTCTCAAAAATAACATTTTGTAATTACTAAAAACTACGATAAGAAGTAATTATACTAACCTAATAACCTATGCATATATAATTCTGGTAAGAACAAAGAAAGCTATAATAAGTAAAGTTTGAAATGTATATACTTAGCACATCTTCTCTATCCCTCTTTCATTCGTCCCATGACGAATCTATTCCGTTATAAAGCTGTCATGCGTGATGCTTGAAATTTGTGTGTATTGTCTATATTTATTACGTAGCACAACTTTAACTATTTCGTATATTCTTTTTTTCTTTTTAGTCGTTCGACATATTATATATTCTTAACCTCCAATATATAATCATATATACACTATGTAAAACTAGTGATGACTATATTATGTACTCTGTCGTTAAATTACCATTTGGCTCAAACCTTTAAGAATTCATATATTTTTGAAATCTTTTTTGAAAACTATAGTATTAATTATTAGTACTAAAATTTAGCTGTTGTGTTATTATGTTATTGTTCAAATTCTGATTTTTTTGTTTCATTTGGTAAACTTTAATGGGTGATCAGATACATGCTCAATCTCAATGCATCACAACAGTCACCAAATCCAGTATACAAAACTAATAATAACACTGCGAAGCTCTATGTGGCTATAATGGTGGACACTGATGTTTATTGAAAGGTCTCATACAACGATATGATTTAACTCGATCGGATGAAAATTGGAATCTCTATCATTTTATTTTATGACACATTTTGAATTACCAAACAAAAGGCAAGGAGAAGTGATAGAGGCACGTGATGCGGTGATGGTATGATCATAACTAGAAATGAAATAAATTGAGTCCCACACGACATATCCTTAACACATCTTTTTTTAACATTTCTCTTTTTCTTTTCAATTGTATTTTTTTTTTCATTTCCCCTCAACCGTTTTATCTTGTTTTCCTATTGATATTTTCTTTCCCTTTTGGTTTAGTTCTTTATATGTACTGTTCTCGTTATATTCCAAGTTAAATTTTGATAAAATAATGGTGGATGCGAGATGCTTACAAAAGTTGATTTGATTATTCATATCAACAAAAGTACTATTTATTTTATAGAAGTTCTTTTTGAAAAGAAAAAAAAATTGAAACACAAAAAATAAGAGTAAAAGTGATTTCTTCTTATACAGTGGAAAAGAAGGCAAAACATGACAAGTAACAAATGTTATTATTTGCAGCAGTTCGAAAGCATTTGTTGAGAAACAGATATAACATTTGAATATTTTATTATCAATTGATTTTGTCGATAATTTATAAAACACAGAGCTATATATTGAATCTCACACACATACAAATGAATTACTAATACCTTTATAACCATCGTTTTTATTTAATTACCAAAACTGTTTTTAGCCAGTTTTCCAAAGCCAAAGGAGGGTTGGATTAAAAAAATGTATTTTTCTAATTTAGGATGCGTATATTTATTTAAGATGAACTTGAAATCTTACGTACAAAGTTAATTGCGAGTTTTACATAGATACGTATAACCACGTGTCGTAAGTAGATGTTAATTGTTCACCAGTTTATTTCCACTTAATTACAAGACAAATGTTCGTCCTTCTTTCGTCATACTCTAATAATATGACTTTCTACGAAAGAAAAAAAATCAAGAGCTCGTTAAATTAAAAAGAGCGATCTACCTGATATTTTTCTTAACTTTGTTTTTTTTCTTTCTCAAAGGATTTCGCTTGGACCTAAATAGATATGGGTCTACTGGCCCGGGAATTCTTAGGTTTTTAAGGACTGTAGTTATTAAATTAATTTTTCAAAACTAGAAAATGATTTTTAATAATTCTGTGATTTCTAAATTACTCACAATTATTCTAGATATGTTCACTGTTTGTTTTGAGAACACCAAAAATGGGAAATCTTGAACTAGAGTCAAAACGGTATTGAACCAAAATACTAACAATGTATTTTCATGCAGCTAAGTTTACGAGGTGGGCAATTGGGCATTAAGCATCGCACAGTGTCTTCATGCAGCTAAGTTCATGAAAATAATAATAACTCTTAACGTATAGAATAGGTCCAGTAATGGCCCAATATGACCCAGAAACAGGTACATTTATTATACCCATTCTTATTATCTACAATCAAATCTGAGTATCAATTTGAAAGACATCTTATACTGCAAATGCAAACCCAAATGCATAATCTTTCGCTTAAGACTTGCTAATGCACCAAAAATACATCCTAAGAATTCCTAAACAAAGTGTTAATCACATGATGACCTAAAAGACTTTAGGCACTCAAAGTAAGAAAATTAGGCTACATCAGATATATTTTTATGGAATTTTTATTACATTTTTTTTGTGCAAAATGGAAAATTTATTACATAAATTCTCCTTTTTAACAAAATTTGAGCCAACTTTAATTGACAATTATAAATAATAGTTGTGGCAAATCCATAAAACATTAATCCATCCAGAAATGTAACATTAATAGTTCGGTTTTGATTCAACTATTTTTTATGCTTTCTTATAAAAAAATTCTACTAAAAGATGCATTCATTGTAAACAAAGTTTTTTGGTTGAATAAATTTTACATTCATTAAAAAAAAAACAATGAAGTCGAACACATATTTGGTAACATTGGACTTAAACAAAAATTCTGGTAACTTGTTAAACTAACCACATGTGAATATTTTCCCTCACTGATCTATCTCTTTATGAGTAGAATCTATTGGATGCCCGTTTACGATGCAACTATCGAAAGCCAAATATAATTTAACATGTTTAATTAATTTATTTATATTATAAAACTAGACAAGAAGTAACTATATGACTATATCTAATTTATCATACTACCATAAGCCACAACTAGAAGTTTAGAAAAAATGAAAACCATAAATAAACAAGATACTAATCTTTTTTTGAATAATTAAGAGGTTATGGGCCTACGCCCGTACATTCACTTAGACCAGAGACCAGAATATTTTATATGATCTCTTTCCAAGCACCACTCGAACCAACGACTTCTAGATTTAGCCTGAAAATCTTTACTAATTGAGTTATTGACACTTGAGATAAACAAGATACTTTATTAAAACGATGATCGTCTGACCTCTTCGTATCTTCCTTTTGTACTTGGATCGATATTTTGTTTCGAGAGATAAGATAAAAATCCAATATGACCACAAACATCTTGTGATCTCTGAACCAAACCTACAAGTTAATTTTTATTATAAGAAGAAATCGAAATTCCAAATATATATATATATCTTCTTTCCAATGGCGTAAGGTAGAAAACAAAATTGACGTAAGATAAACATTTATGTATTTTAGTAAATAAAAAAACAATATATTACATTTTTTCCCCTACTTAATATATTACATTAAGAATAAAGAAAGCCAAGAGTAGAGAACCACATAAATCTTACCCAAGAGTACCCACCTTCCATCATTTCGTTACTTTTCATTTTTTGTTTGTGTCTCAAAAGGAGCTCTTGATGGTGTGTTCTTTAACCTAGTCATATTCACTAATTATATACATATATTAATTAGTGGAATTCGTATTTCCGCATTTTGAATAAACCAAGAGGGGTGAATATGTCCTTGCAAGGACCAATTGTTAGTATAATATTC